GCTCCTCCCCGGCGGGTCCTGGGCCACTGTCCCCAGGGGCCTTTGTCCCTGTGCACCCACGTGCCGGGGTGCAGCCCCAAGAGTGCCCCACTGCAGCCCCGCCCGCCCCCAAACCAGGGGCTGCCTCTCTGTGTTTGGGCACTTTGTGCCAGCTGCTCCCTGTCCGGACGGGTTTGGGTTTAATTTGATCCCACAATGCCTACTCGTGTCCTCACAGCTGCCCAAACCCTCCCCTGGCCCCGGCGCAGTGCGCAGGGTGCCCTTCGCCTGCACATTTGCATCCTGTCCCTGCCACCCTGCTGCTCCCCGGGGCCGCGAGAGCGGGTTGCAAGCAGAGCCAGCTGTGGTTTGGGGCCGTTGCTGCCATCCCCTGTGAACGTCCCCTGCAGCCGCCCTGTCCCTGCTGTCGCGGCGCCTGCCTGCATGGCTGGGCGATGACCCCCCTGCCCCGGGCACTGCCGGCGCCAGCGTGTTGCTGCTGCAGGGCTCAATATACTGACATCAGGGTGCCCCAAGGGACTGCAGGACATGGCCACCTCCTCCCTGCCCTGTTCCCTCCTTGGCAGACACACAACGAGTACCATCTTTCAAGGTTATCTCATCACTTTTATTGCTTTAAAAAAAAAAAATCTGAGTTTTATCTGTGGCAGAGAAAGGCACCTTTGTTCGAAGATGCTGGCAGCGGCCGAGGCAGCCGTACTGCTGCATCCCCGGCACAACGTCAGCGTCACCAGCAAACAGCAGCCAGGCACTGCTGCCTGCTTGCTTTTTTTTTTTAACGTGTATCCACCGTCCCTGGCCCTACGAGGCCTTTTCTCAGCACACAAGACACCAACAGTGCTGCTGGAGGCGCCGCGCTCCCCTCGGCTCCCTGCGCGGCCTTCGCGGCTGCGCTAAGTCAGAAGTGAAGCTCTGCCCATGGCACCGGCTGCTCCTTGCGGAGCGCGAAGGCCCGGGGAAGGGAGCTGCATCCCCTGGGAGGGGCTTTTCAACCTCCCCTCCTGCCGGGCCTCCCGCTGCGCAGAGCTTGGTGGAGCGTTTCCGGCTGCTCACGCGGGTTTTCCCCCAGCAAGGCACCAGGCCTCCCCCGCGGCGCCTCTTAGCAGGGACCAAGCAACAAGCAGCACCAGCCGCCCTCGCGCCCTGCCTGCGCCTGGCGCCAGGCCGCCCGCGGGTGCCGAGCGCGCAGCCAGCAGCACCGCCCGCACGGCCTGCACAGGGTGTCCCTGGAGGGGTCACAGCCCGGGGAGCCTGGGGAGGGGACACCACCTGGGGGGCTCCTTTAGAGGTGGCCACAGCCAGGGGAGCCCTTAGGAGGGCTTCCAGCCCAGGGCACCTGTGGGACGGGACGGCAGTACGGAGGGAAGCAGGTCCATGCACCCTGGTCCCTTCGCTGGCAATAGCCCAACTCGCCTGAGTTCAGGACCCACCCCCCAGGGCTGCTCATGCTGTAATAGACTGGAAAAAAGTACCTTTTTTCTTTTTTCTTTTTCCTGTTCTTAGGAGAAATGGGTCAGGTCCAGCCGGTGTCCCGTGTCCCGCGGGTGCTCTGTGAGCTCAAGCACGGGCACAGGGTTTCTCCCTCCAGGGTGTTTCCAACCATGGCTTGGGGACAGATGCTACTTCGGAAGGGCGGGGGTGGGGGGCAGGCCTTAATGCCCAGGCGCCTGAGTGCGATCGCGC